CAGAGCAAGGATTACCCCTGTTCAAGCGAAAACTTTCCACAACACGCATTAAGGAGACGGAGATCGACGTGATTCATTTTGATAAAGTAATTTCTGACGCGGCCATGTTCTGTCACCTCATTGGCTGTTGTCAGGGCTGACTCACTAGTGCCGGATTAATCGACGATACCTTACAGGACTCTTGTCAATTGAAATTTATTCGCAAATCGATTAATTTAAGCAAAGCTTTTTCCGGAAATAATTGCTTCATTTTATCAACCAAAGCGCTTTCGGAGACAATTTTACACGCCTCGACTCGAGTGCAATCAATAGTGGTTTGGAATTTGTAGGAATGAGGTCGTTAAGTCGAGATAATTGCTGTATTTTGAAGATAATACATTGAAATTCAGACCATCCTGGATATCACTACCGATGTTCACACACTGAGGAGGATAATTCATTGGAGAGAGGCTTCACAAGGCTGTGTCCCCACAAACCCCCACATTTCCAACACCACGAACTGCCGGACAGCGCGATCGAGGAAATCCGCAGCTCACAATATGTGTTTAAATGGGATTGATTTTCACGGAAATCCAAGTCTTTGACTGGACATCTCACCCGAATTAAAATTTACAAAATAATTTTGCTAAGCAAAGAATGAAGGAACATTTCTCGGCTTTTATTAACGATGCGCTGATAAGCTGGAATAAAAAGGATTTTGTAATTGATAATCACAGATTACATCACCGTACCGAGGGTCTTAAAAATTGGATGTTTGCGTAGATACAACGAAAAATATAAATAATCGGATATCATTAGTGTTTTGGGAACTCAAATCCTACTAAGTTTCATCAATGTGTGGTGTGACTGTGTGCATTATATTTTACTCATTCGTAAAACAGCCTCACCTCATTGGCTCTCCTCGCATTTTAATGTCATTTGTAACAATTTGATATGGAGTGTACTGCGCTACAAATAACACTAGGCTAAACAAAGTTCACCTGTTAATAATGGATTGATTATTGAAATCATTCTCGAATTTGGAGGTAAAGGGTATCAGCATTTTGAGATCAAACAGAGTCAAAAGAGGCTCGGTTTTCCATATTAATTGAAACATTAAATATATCAACTATTATGTGATCTCTTAACAAACCGAGAATCCATTTAGTTTGTGCACACATTTGTTTAACTGAAATTGTCACAACGACGCAAAATAATCTCATCGACAAGGATGCATATTTGCGCGATCTGCTATTACACCTTGACTGCCGTTAATTGTCGCTAATTGCTTAGAGAATGCAGTTGATTAAGCTTTAGTAAAACGGTTAATTAGATGTTCGTTGCGCACCGATCCAATACGCGCCCGAATTAGCAGACAAGTTAAGTTTTTGAAAAAAAATAATAAACAGATTTTCTCACTGACAAATGGTCATTATAAGGTTATTTAGACAATTTGTCATTAATTAATAATTTGGCCAAAACCGTAGTCAAGGCATTCGACGGTCACCGTTACTTAGTAACCAATCACCGTGTTTTAAATTGACCCTCGTTTTCAGTATTCCATTTCGCGTTTACTAGGCATTCTATTTCAGTAGTATATACATGACCGACTTCAATTTATCTTACGTCGACACAAAAATACACTTGAGGAATACAAATATTTAGCTTTTCAGTACTTATCATGTGCTCTTAATAGATTTCCATAATCAGCATTTCTTTCATTTGCCATTTCATAAAAAAAATTGTTTAGTGGATTTAATGAGTCCTTAATATTTTTGTGACGACTAACCCATTTTGGCAAACCCTGAATCAAAATGAGACTAAAAACACGACTAGCGGCAATACCTGTTTGAGTTGTCAGGGTCGAGTAAACCAGCCAATCAAAGGGGAGTTAACTTGATTTAGATTCGTAAGCTGAACCAATAGGGAAAGGCTGAAAGCTATGCCAACTGTTTAGTGCAAGAGATTAACAAATTAAATTTTCATAAAGTCATGCTTGATGAGGCCCGCCTGGCGTGTGATGACGCTAAAAACACACCATCACACCTGAAACCATGGTAATGGAGACCAGTGACGAATGAAAACACGCAGTCTCCGGAATGAACAATCCAGTAGCTGATTCATCCGCTTTGCTTGTATCGTATTGGTCAATTTCTCTGCACTGCTTACAAGTTGTATTTCGACAAATTAACACGCACACTTAATTAGGCCATACATTTACTGATTTCAAGCAGTCTCGTTAAATGTACTTTAAGAAATTTGCATAATCAACTTTGAAAAATTAACTGACGGTATTCTACAATCTTTCTACCTGATTTAAATTCCTTCCAGGTTCTGATTGGTCCAATCTTAGTTCGGGTGACTTCATTAGCCAATGAACTCTGCGTGTTTTCTGGAATGTTGACGGTGAAAGTCATTGATGTTAATGCTTTTGGGGACATCCAATAATTACATGATGCGCAATGATTGGGCGATATTTTATAAAAGTAATTATATGTTTAAAAGAATTTGGTTCAAGAGCAGATGTGACTGATGTGGGGTATGCGCTTTCTAAATGTGGGGTGAAGTCTCTGAAGAACACGAATTTGTGAAAAAAAATCAACTTTAATCGTTTTATGAGAGTTGCAAATTGGTAAGTTGTATTGTTTGTGTTCTACCAATGCTAATTCCTACTAACAATACGAACAGATAAATTAATAAATGAAATTGTTTAAAATTTGAATTCAAAAGGGCTTTTTTTAAAAATTTGCGCAAAATGTGTGTTTGCAAAATCCGTATCTGGGATAAGAAGCAATCTCTTCTTCAGATCTCATTTTAGATTATATTTTTGAAATGAAACCATGGGAACTAAGTGAGATGGACTACACCCAATGACATCGAAACAAAATGACTTTGGCACGACAACGCAAGATGCTCAATTAAAACAAAAAGTCGTACGTGGCCAACTCGCTGGAACGACAACCAACCAGATTTGGCTGGACTGTCGTGACATCAACACATTGGTCGTTTTTGGCGGCAGAATTAACATAGCGATAGCCACCATTTTAACACGAAACCAACCATCGAAATGCTCCAAAAGGCGTGCACATTTTGTTCTAAAAAGACCGAAGTATATTGGGATGCAAGAATTGAAAGATATGTTAAAATACTACGAATTAGAAGAATGGCACACACTTAATTACGGCTCATATCATGGCGGACTTAGCTGCGTAATTTTCCGACCTATCCGATGCTCCATTAATGCGACCTTCAGGCGGCCAATCACAAAGCTTCATCACTGCCATTAAACAGCGATGTCGACTCTAGTGGCACTGATTTAGCCCAATGATATTGACGGACGAAACCAACACATGAAAGTCTGGGAAGACACCAAATGATGCTGTCGAGTCTTAGCACAATTTTCAGACCCAAAATGACCTTGAAAAGTGAACCGCATCGACAGAATGATTGGTGGTTGCTTTAGTTAAACAAGGTCTGCATCGAAACCTATTAGAATTGCAATTTAGTGTCAAAGAAGGATGTAGGTCAAACCAATGAATGCTTCCGGTGGAACAGATTGATGTCAAATATGACTGACACGGTTCGGCTATCCTCGACCTGATTGGACGAAGTTAATGAGTCGTTCGATTGGATGAAGTGGGTGGAAAAAACGTGCGGATTATCTCACCATAAAATTTCATATTGGACCGTGACTGAACCCACTTACAGGACAACAAACAGACAACGGAAATATTAGCTGAAAAAACAGGCCTAGAGAGATTTAGGGGTGAAACAGTTAAAGTCGACATAAAGATTAGCTTTGAAAAATGACTGTGCAACGCGGTTTGTTCAACCTGCTCATACACCTTATCAACCAATAATAGTTGAGTTCTTTAACCAATCCCAATTCAGGATGCAAGAAAGGGTCAATATGTGGTTATATAAAGTAACCTTTTGAAATAACCACGCGGAATCTATCAAGGAAAGGGATAACGTGGAGAGTATGCGGACGTCTTGCAGTGTTAGATATACTACTACTGCTAAATATTGCTACATACATGCCTGCACAGCTGAGTTTGTTTAGGCGATGCAAGAAATACTAAATGAAGCTGATTTCTATTCGGAATGTCGAACATCAAATGGAAATTTAGCCATTTTTTACCACTTCGCAAAGGTAGCTTGACCCTAAAAATGTTGCTATTGGAAACGAACTAGTCGGCGTCCACTTTTACCACTGAAAACGGAAATCGATTCCTTGTGATACCACATGTGAAAAAAACCCGTGCCGATCGAAACTAGTGATTCGTTGGAGCTAGGACCACACTCCTACAAACATTATTTGAACAAATATATCGATTAAAGCTGACGTGAAGACATCCAGTAAGTGTTTCGTATCTTTAACCAATCGTAATTCAGTAAGCAGTAAACAGCCAATCCGCAGTCACCTTAGGCAACCTATCGACGTAGGCATGCAGCAAGCTTCCTCGATTCCTGCTTAGCGGCGCGTTCCATGATTAAATTTCGCAAATTTAACCACTTAAAAAGGTAAATTATCGAAAAAAATGTAATCAGAACATTTACTATGCGCGATGTGGGTGTAAGTTCACAAAAATCTTTTTGTCAAATAATGGCGCTTCAATTGAGCCAAACCATTGAGTCACGAAACGTGACGAAGCATTGGGTGGAATTCTCGCGACAACTGGGAGTGAGATGGTCGAATTCCAACACGGTAACAACGTTCTCCCCGGTTAGCAACATGCTGGCCGGTACGTAGAGGCTTACTTGAGGACCCGCACTGGGGTAGAATCGACCAACCACATAGCCGTTCACTGATAGGACGCCCTACAGCAAAGACGAATCATTTAATCGATTCGCTGATAAATTTTCGGCCAAGGTCAACTTATAAGCCGGCATTGCCTCGTATGGACATTGGTTGATATTCCACAGTTAGAATACACGACCTTTTGACATCTCGGCCAGTAACACAAGGCACCAGTAAAATCCTTAACCACTAACTTTATCGAGTATTGATTATGGAGCGATTCCAATGTCCACGAAGCTTGGATTGGCGCCCCAAAGCAGTATTCTCATTGGTTGCGTTGGCTTCAAAATTCGCCAAAATGTTAGACCGTCAGAACACATGTCTGTCGAACGTTTACGACCAGAGTTTATCGACATAAGGAGACCTAACTTACTATGCTGAGGGATGTAAATAACTAGAATCGATTTTTTGAGATTGAGGATTACACACAGGCACCACCTAAGCGAGCATTTTGGTTGGTTCAATGCCGGTGAAAGCGGAAGGCTCGCGTACCCGTGTAAAGCCATTCATAACCGCGAAGGTGTCCAATGGTGTGGAGGGGATTTGGAAGTGGCCCTTGTAAACCCTGCCGGGCTCAGGGAAGTCGATGCTACCACCCCCATTGGACTGCCTAAAAGAGGAATGACGACTAAACGAAATTGGTAGATTGCTATTAAAAGCTGCTCAATTTGTAAAATAGTACATATCTATGCTGGTGAATTCACAATGGTGAAAAATTCGATCAGCCCGAGGTTTCGAGCGATTTGATTGGCTGCTGGGAAAGTGGATGCTGATTGGTTTGTCTCTTCAGACGGGCTTGAATGACACTACAGCACACACTTAGGAGGAATAAGTCAAAATATTTACTTGAAACGAATAGGATTCAGACTCCTGAAGTCGACGTCCTTCATCACCCAGTTGAGCAATTCCTCCCCATCCAACAGAACGCTACCATTGATGCCCTACCGAGGAAAAAGACACCTGTGACTTGCATGCAGATGAGCTTATCTAGCCTACTTTGAGTCAAAGATATTTCAGAATGTGCGAATTAACGCGTTTACTAAGTCGGCATGCATCAAGCACAGTCAGATTGCACACCCTACTGATGGGTGAAATTCAGTAGCACGCGTTAACGCCTTGGGGAACGTGTCACAACAGGGCTTGGTATTTTATTTCCAGGTGATGAATATAATCTAACGCTGATTGCACATAGTTTAACGCCAATGAATGAAGTTTAAATATCGATAATGCTGGTGCATACCAAGGGCGAAATTCACTTTATTAAATGTCATTCGGTGAGCAAATTTCTCACGTCTTATTATCAAATGTTTGCAAAACTTGATAAGACATTGAGGGGTCCAAATTTTAACGAAAAAACTGATTTTACCAATAAGTCGGGATTTAACCAATCGCGGAATAGCTTGCAAACCGATTTCCACAAAAACTAAGTTATTACTCGATTTGGTAAAACACTGTAGTAGACCGTTTACGTATACAGCTTCGCTAAAACAGCTCGTGGGTTGGTTGTTTGAATACAGAAAAGCAAACAAAAATGACCTTGATATCACCAATCATCTCGCGACCAAAGTTCAAATGGCCTCTGCACTCCGTAACAATCGCAAGTACTGGAAGGTCCTCAGAGAAGGTGACATTCAGGCTACCGGCACCAGAGACAAATCCATGGAAGACCTGAAGTGAAGAGATGGTTACCAAGGCAACCGCACGGGATTTAAAATCATTGTTAGTCGTGGACCAATAAGAGTCTAAGTGTTGGAGAACCAATCATGTGCCAGTTCGGCAAGATTAATCAATTACTTCAATCTGGCTGCGAACATTGTAAGGGAGCGCATTTAACTGTTCGATTAAATTCACGGGCAACTCACAAATGTCTCGAAAAAGAAGTCGGTTGTGAACACTAGCCCGATGTCCTTGACCCTCGCGAAGGTCACGTTACCAGGTCCTTCCTTTCCCCCGACGTGAACGGTGTACGCCATAAAACCTTGGTACTGGAGCCAACGAATGATTGGTTGGTTAACGGTGCATTAAAACAAATGCACACGAAGGTCTTAACCAATGACAAACCTGTTTCAGTGCCTCCATGTAGAGAGGGCGGAGGCTTGAGACACCAACGGGCAGATCGTACAATAAATGAGAATGCTAGGAGCAAAAAAGCAGAAGGTTTTGTAGAGAAATCTTTGTTCGCCGTTCCACACACCAAACTAATTTTGCCTGAGCCACCACACAAAATTGCAAGTCACGCTATTGGCTGTCGATTGACGGTAAGAAAACATGCTCCCATCCGAATGGCACAGCACTTACAAACTGCACTGCGACGTCGCCGTAACTAGCTTTTGAAATATTCGGAGGAAGAGGCGGTGGATCGAGGTGCTTCAACTACAAAGAAAGGGGGAATGAAATGACGAGTAATTCGGAAGGTCCGTGTCCGAAATATGGAGATGTGGCTCACTTGGTGAATTACGTCACGCAGGATGAGGTACTTGTTGGTGATGTCACCAGACTCGGATACGGGCGCGTCGTAGTCGTAGCTGGTGATGATGAAGTCGGTCGCCGAATTGGCGCCGTTCCAGTAGCCGAAGTTCGTGCCACCGTGGAACATGTAGCTGGAAAGGGCCAAGGTGTTAACTCCATAAGCCTGTCATTATTGGACTTTTCTAAACACACGCACTACTCAAAACAATAAGTAGACATTGTTGATTAATCTTCAGAAACTTTCAACCGACGTTAAAACGGTGGCCCGAGGGAATATTCTTTTATCCCAACATTAAAAAAGACATGTTTTTAACGTCATTTGGGCAAAATTAGAAGGCATAAGTGTGGAGGTTTTACGACCACCCCTTTTCAAACGATCTCAACGGGAAAATCAAGAGAATGGCGAACAGACGCTTTTGGTACAATCAAAAATCGACCTACATGTTGAAGCTGACTCTGTCGGAGTAATTCCAGAGACTGACAGCAGCCTCAGCGAATTCCGTGGCGTTAACCAGGTGTCGTTTCGTGCCCCAGTCATCGAACCATCCCGAATAAAACTCACTGTTTACCTGGCAACAATGATAGGTAGATTTGAAGGTCAATAACACAAGGCGCTATTTTATACGCCTAAATCGATACTAATTACCACTGGGTTGAGCCAGAGGATGTCCGACCAATAGGACACAGGGAAAGTGAGCGCCAAAGTCAAAAAAATCTCAATTTTGAGAGTACACTAACAGAGCGCCTACTACGATCGATACACACATCCGGATATTAGAAATGCACAACAAATGCGATGCCGATGCGTGTTTTGTGTTTTTAGGAACTGGCATCATTTTTCAAGGTGATCTACCAGGGCCGTTGCTGTTGCTGTTGAATACATAGCATTAACATTCACTGCCACTTCAAGACGTTATGCATAAATGATCTAACAGAGAAGATTATCGATTTTGTAGCATGCGTAACATCTTCATGGAAATAATGTTGACTGACAATAGTTGATACAATTTAAGGACCAAAACTATGTCTAAACAGATGATGAAGACAACGATGAACTTGAATCTAGATAAACATGTCGAAATATTTTCTTTTAAATAGAGTGAAAGCCAATTAGCGGATGGAGAAAATGTACTGAGGAGGAAAAGGGACGCGATGCACTTGTCTTCCCCAAAAAAGTAAAAGAAAAAAATCTCAGGCATCTATTTGAGTGTATTTGGATCAATTTAGTCGACGCGGAAATTCTCACAAGAATCGAAAGAGAAAATATTTATATTTAGACACTTTAACGTACTAGTGGGTGGTGAGGTTGAAATTTCTCAAGGTCCTTAAAGGCGACCTCGGGTTTCTGTGCTGAAACAAGTGGAAAAAACATCAGGTGCTGTGAAGAGTGAGCAGCGAGCAGGCGCGAAGCACTCACCACCGGCAATGCCAAAGTCGACTGTTGCGAAGAGGCGGCGATCTGAAGAGCCGCATTTCAAGAAGGCCACTGAATTTCCATCGGTTGTGTAGAGAATGATGTCGTTCCCAAGAACGAATCTGGAAAAATCGTACAGCGCGGACAAGTAATCTCGGTCACATGCATAGTAAGATCCGTATTCATTTTCCAACTAAATGCGAAAAAAGGCATCGCCAAATGAGCAAAATAATCTGATTTGATAATTTGGATGGAGATAAACAAGTACCTGGACCATAATAATGGGTCCGCCATTCTGATAAAGCAGAGGTTGCAATTTGGGGAGAAGTTGACTAAACCACCTAATAGCTGGTAAGACAAATCCTGGGGAAGAGGAGAACAATTATTATTCCTGCTTGTGACAGTTGCATGACTTAAATCACAGACTGATTACCTGCGTAAGATGAGCGCAGCTTAACATTGGGGTCTTTGGATAAAAGCCACGCAGGAATGCCACCCTGAATTTACAAAGTTAAGTGCGGTTTACTTCCTTACGAAGTCCCACTCTGAACAAATGTAAGGGCCGACGCGAGCAAGTACTAATAACTCATTTTTTTGAGCCAACTCGATAAATTCCACAACATCTCTGTCACCATCAAATACGAATTTGCCAGGACTTGGTTCATGATAGTTCCATGGAATATATCTGCGAAAACAGATAAAAGGGATCAGGGAAAAGTTGAAGGAATCAACCAATTCATTTTTTAATAGGAAGAATAGGATAACATACATCTGAATTGCATCTAAACCAGCAGCTTTGGCTTTCATAAGTCTGTCCTCCCAATATATCCTCGGAATGCGAAAATAGTGCAGACTGCCCGATATGTACCGGAACGGTTTACCATCTTTTAAGAAGACACCCGTGACATTGTCAATAGAAAATGTGGGCGAATGCTAAAGGATATATCTATGCATAAAGAAGGCTTACTGAAACAAATGACATATTAAAGTTCAAAAATAGGAACGCAGTAGCAATAAGAGCACCCACAAAAAAAAGAATCATGAAAAACACATTGCAAATCTGCCTAAGATGTGCAGTGGTGCGTCGATCATGAAGTTGCACGGAATAGATTTCAGCTTCTTCATAACCTAGGTCATTTCAAACGTAGGTCTAAAAACCCAACCTGCAAATCCCTGTTTACCTGTCCCGATTACTTTACTTGAACACATTGAACGCAAAACAAAATGTGCAATCAAAATAAACACAAAAGGTAAATAATCTGGAAGGTCATATACAGTAATCCAATCACTAGAACAGCTAGAATTTAGCATAACAATTAGGTGTGAGAAGGAATTTTTTCTGAACATTTTTGATTTAAGATGGTATGACTATTTATAAAAGTGTAATTTATCCCTAATGTAATTATTCCGAATGGAATTTACATGACGCAAGGTGATTTGAATCAGTATTTTAACCCACGATTCAAGGTAAAACACAACTGACAAATTCACAAAATTCATAATATAAAGAGTGGTTTTATGCAATAGTTTTTGTGCATAGATCAGTGGATGATGATTTTTTGTACCTACCTAATGCGAATCTCAAATTGTCAATTTCATAAAAGTTGCATAAATTTATTTAGTGGAAAAGACAGATAATTATGTTTTACTGACTCTCAGATTTGATTCATGTTTTCACTAAGACCCAAGACTATATTTTTTAATAAATAGGAATTTCCGCAGCTGTTACGTCCATTTTGGTTTCTCCAAAATATTGCGGCACCCACATATCTCTAGGTTGATTCCAGCAAAACAATTCCATCATCCATTTTGCATTTTATGAAGCTTTGCTCAATATGAAAAATCTAGTTTATAAAAGAAATATCATTTAAATGGTGGGAAAAATGTACAAGTTTTCTTAACACACGCATTTCTCGTCACAACTCGCAACATTTTGCAATCTTCTCTTCTTATTGCAGATATATGTCCCTTCACACACCTATCTTATAAATCCATAGCTTAGTGATTAGTTTGGTCGCTAAAGGTTAATGCACGAAAAATCACATTTAAAATGCAAATGAGCCACTAGAACAGAATGTTGAATATCTCTGTCTGAATTAAACTAGGCTTCCAAATACGAAAAAAAATATATGGGTTTTATCAGAGACACATAGGGTCTCCACTCTCGAATATTTTTTGGCAAAATTGCCACTCATTTTATTGCTCTTTGAAAACAAATACTTGAAAATTTGGTAAACTAATCGCGGCTCTCGTTGTAGTAGTATAACCAAAGCCCATTTCCAATAATTCAAAATATGCTGACATAACAATACACCAGTTTCACTCAATGTGTCTATAAGAACGTTGCCGGATATGTTAGAGTACATCACTCTTCTTTAAATTCAAACAGTGTCGTTAGTCAGTCTAGTTAATACTTATTACGGCTGTACTTCCCCTTATTCCCCATCCCAAACCATTAGATCCAAAATCTTAGTCCAACGTGATTCCACACGCTGCTTCCGCCAAACACCTCGTCCAAATATGGAAGTAGACAAGGACCACTGCTTTTAGTCACACATTTAAGGGCTAAAGTATCCAACGGTATCACTTCTTATCCTAGTTTGTGATTCGATAACCACTAAGAAACGCTAGTCACTGGTTTCCGCCAAAGCGAGACAAGAATCGACTTATCGCCGAATTTAATCTCACTAAAGAATACCTCACATAGATAGGTAAATCGAAAGCCTGTACACGGTGATTTTAAAGGCAGCAGCATGGGAGTTGGCGGTTAAACGGGAATTGGGGAAGTGGGCGCAAAAAAATAGGGGACACTAGCGGCCAAGGTCGGAGAACCGTTGGAGGTCAGGCACAGCGGTCACGCATTGATCGATGTGACCTAGAGAGTCCAGACACACTACACCGTCTTCCTGATCCTCAACCAGGACTACATCCTAGATGCAAAGAGAAGGATTTCAAGAAAATGGCAAAACAAATAGACGCAAAGAACGAAGTCAATCATCATCCACTTGCTTGACTGTATATAACACTGAAAAACAATTAATGAGGAAACAAGTGATGTTGTGTCGCGACCAAAACGAACCAAATAGTAAATCAAATCAGTAAATTGACACATCAATAGATACTGACAGGGAAATATAATCCTACTTGTCGTGACGTAGTAGAATATGGTGGATAAATTGTCGTCCTAGAGACCAATCCTACCATGTTTACTTCCGATTAATCTCAAAATCAACTCTAATTTAAGGTATTTTGAGTGCTGATCAGTTGCCAAAATAAAAAGCGGTAAATTGCGCCCAGATAAACACAAATTAAGCGTTTCGAGGAATAAGTACCGAGGAATAAGTGGTTGGTTTTGGGCACAGTAGCTGGAACGCGGCATCAGAGACGACTAGACGCGCTTCTCCATTATCTAGCAGCTGGATTTTGCCAAATTTTCCTTCTTTCATTATGGGGGAATCCTGTTAAAAGAGACAGAAGAAATGTCCTTAGGGTCTTTGCTAGCAGAAGGGCCTCACCACGAAGGTCACTGCGTGACCTTGAAACTGGACCAATCAGACGCACAAAACTGGTTCCCCCCCCCCCAAATGGACCACAGTAGGTAGGGAACAAATTAGGCCATTATAACTACAATCCTAACCAAGCAAATTGACCACAAAAGTCCTAAATTACAAATAATACGGATGTCGAATGCAATAAAACGGCTCTACCAACTCTGTGTTCTGAACAGGTGGTGCGCAAACTGTATCACAACATCATTCTGTACCGGGAAGCACAAAACCCCAGAGAATGTCGACAGAAAGCGAGTATACAAGACCCAGAGGAGACTGCATGTTTAGCTTAAAGTGGCGAGATACCATTAAATCAGGTTGAAAGGAGGTAGGAAAAAGACGGTTTCATGCGCGTTTGGCAAAACAAGCCTAGTTGAAGCAACGTCGTCGACAAACCGACCTCTGACAAGAAAACCTCAGGAATCCGGAGGGTGAAGAGGCTGCCGGTGGAGGAGGTTCCATCGAAAAGCTGCGATGGAATGACAGAAGCGCAGCTCTTTGCCTTTGAAACGGGACCTGCTGAGAGGAGAGAAACAGTCGCACTTGAACAACCACAAGTTGCAAGACTAAACCTGTGGAGTTGCTCCACGAACCTATCAGCGATGGGCACGTGTGCATGGAGAGAGATATTAATCGCGCAACTTCCGTATTGTGATAGGCTGTGGCAATGACAAAAATTGCGCATTCTACTAAGACACGATTGCAGGGGTTGTTGTGAGGCAAATAATCAATCACGCATTCTCCAAACCCAGTTGCACGGTTCTGCTTGCATCCCTCACAAAAACAACTCATTACTATCACCTCCTTCACATTCATGCCCTTGTCTACTCGCAGATTACCGAAAATGCCACAGCGTTGGCGCAAGTTATCAACCTACCCATTAGATGACAGCGTGAATGATCACCTAGCCTTATTGTGCTTGACTCGGTAACACCCACTTGTGCATTACCGAGCATTTCAGACGCACACGAGTTTGGTCTAGCGATCCAGTAAACATTTAAGTGAATATCCAGTGAATTTGAATCTATAACCAAAATAACGAAAAATAAAAGACGATCCCGAGAGAGAGATTCAACGGGCTTATGTCACGTGTGTTTAACGCGCACAATGGTGCTTTATTAAGAAGGCAATAGTGAGTAGGAGTCACCAGGGTGGAGATAAGCGTGTTAAAACCTATCTGCTGATGGTTCAGGCGACATGATGCATCACTGTGAAAGAGAGAAAGCCAGAGATTATCAATAGATGCTAGAGTCGAAAACAATGACTAGGTGGATGCGTGGACACCAATCTCGGGTTTTTGTTGGGTAGGCTGCAAAATTTAGTCAAATACTTTGGCACCACACAGTAAACATGCCTAGGCTCTCACGAGACTACCTCAATGAAAAGTGATAATGACAGGGAGCCGTGAACAGTAGACAGACACAAATGGGGCGCACCGTTTTTGACCGGAGACGAGGGATCACCGGGGGAGCGGGTGGGGGAGTCGGGCGGCATGAATGTCGGTGGGAAGGAGAAGAACTGACTGACATCCGTGACAAAGGGCTCCGGGCGGGGGCACGGCGCGGTGGGCAATGCTACCGCGGACGTTGATGGTGCCTCGTCATTGAGGACTTTTTTGACGCTTCTTCCACTGGAGGATTCTAGGTGGAACAAGAGGAATTGATGCAAGATACAAAAGAAATCGTCTGGAGTCATTAGGCAACTCAAATTAATGGGCATTAAAACCAAGAGTCAAATCATCAGGGGCCGTTCTGAGTCGTTGAAGTAAACAAACGATTGAGAAATCGCAGGTTATAAAACACGCAGAGCGATTCCGCAGAAAGCATCACCAGAAAGTTTTGTCATTTTAAACTCCACTAACAAGGAGACGCGGGAGGAAGAAGCGACTAACTAAAACGTTGTGACATCCAGAAAACAGTCCAAATTTTCTGAGAACACATAAAATCAACACACGAAAGGCAATTCATTAAACCCAAACAACCCACATGAAATTAATTTACCTGGTAAATCTGACAATATGGAAGGAAGTCATATTGCTTAAATGGTGTCACATTTACCGTCACAATACAAGCATTGTTTCGATGATCTCATGAGGCGTCACTATGATTTCGCACAACAATCCCCAGAGAACTATCGTGTAACGAGAGATAAACTCAATCAAAACCAATATATCGGAGTTGATTTTCCGCTAGGAATTATCTAACGACACGGCTAAGATGCAATTTCTTCTGGTCCAGTTTACATTTATTTTGATGTAGAAGAAATCAGGAAATTATTTCCCTACAGGGTGGGACTAGTTCACCTCTTTTTTTAAAATCACAAACATCACCAGATAGGAGAGATAGAACATACGCAATTCGACAGAATGGTTGTCAGTCTTGACAACGCAACCGACGCCCATCTCAAAGATTGAGTAGCTCTGCACAAAACGAGAGTTTTCACCATCTAGAGACTTTCGGTTAATTCTACCACGCTTCGGCTTTGGCTCTTCAGATGAATCTTGGGATCTTCGAGGCTTAGATGACGGTTTTCTGAAACGTAGGCGTGTTCAGTTTAGGAAAGGCCAATTCGGACAAGGAAAGAACGAAATCTCAAATCTATGGAGCCCTGTGATAATCAAGTGACGTAAAATTGCCACGGATATCAAAAACGAGGAAATACAGTACATAAAAAATTGGAGGCATTAAATATAAAACAGGTGCTTCAAAAAAGAAAACTTAATTGAAACTAGGAGTGCGCGAGAACGTGTGATTTAGGCAAATTGGCATTCGCTCACAACTGGTTTATCAGTTTCAGTTACGAAAAACACCAATAAATCTTAATCACATGGTGCAATAATCGATATACCACTTCAAACTTGGAGTCTAGTCTTGGAACATATATCCTGACAGAAAAAGAACCGAAGAGGAAGAATATCAAGGAAACCACCTGCCGTTAAACACAATTAAACATGCAAGCCCAGCATAATGCACAAGAGGCAACCTACTATACATAGGAAAAAAACCTCAAAGCATTAGACCGAAGAGAGCGCATTTAAAAAGCACGAGTAAGAAATTGTTTAACAGGCATTCGGATTTATTAAAAATGACAACATGGGAGTTTTGCTTTGCATACGTCAAAAAAATCAAAGACTCACGGATTATCAGACTGAGACTTTTTTGCCAATGCCTTTGAAATATTGGGAGTGAATTTCCTACGCGACGGATTTTCCTTACTGCTAAGTCTAGGAAATTGAAAATGAATGTAACAAACTAACCTCCCATCAACATTACTTAGAATGCTGCTCTTAGAGTTCATTGAGAAAAATGTTCTCTGAAATAATAACACTGACACATGAAAACAGCACCAGTCTG